AGAGGCCACGACAGTGAGAGGCCCGCATACCGCAAAAAAAAAAAAAAAAGTCCGGAACTGTAGCCTGTTAGCAACCTGTAAGGACATTCATTTCTTTGGCAGTTATTTATTGAATCTTACTGGGGGGTTAGTCCTATGGGCCACAGAGATGAAAAAAGCACAGATTCTAAGGAGTTTACGGTTGTCCTGGTAAATCAGATAAATAAAGCCCTGGGGCCTGCCTGGACCTGCGTTGAATTGATGCTTCTTCAGTCCATTAAAAATATGTTTGCTAATGAATGATGAGGCATTGCATCCGCCATCTTCCCCCACTCCCCGTGTGACTTTTTTTTTTTTTTTTTTTTAACACTCTTGGATGAAAATGTGATGAGAAATATGTCTGATGATTGTCCTGACCTGGAAATTTTGTAGGGACACAGAGTCCCTCATTTTCAACAAGATCCGGGTGTGACAAGTCCTGTGATTGCAAGTGAAGTCGTTCTTGGCCACTTCATGCTGTACCTCCATATGGCCGTCAGCATTTCATTAGCTTGATTGATTGACATCCGTCAGCAGGAGTTTGTCCCGTGCCCGCACCCGTCCAGTTTTGGAACAGCTGGGCTACAAAACCTGTTGTTGTACTTCTCTCTCTTTCCCCAAACGATCTGGGTGCCTTTTGCTCACTGGGGATAAGGGGTGAAATTGGCATCGTGGATCCAAATGAGTACATTTCAGGTTGTTGTTTCTTGCCTTGAAGATACAGCTCCCAGCACCTTTTAGTACAGACACCAAAGAGGAGGCAAACAGATTTAGATGTGCAGTATTTCAGATGTGAAATTTTTTGTGTAATTACTTTAACCTCAGAGTCAAGTATAGAAGGTCATCCTTAGATAATGGTAAGTGAATATCTTGGGATATAGTGCTCGGCATAAACAAAGTTCAAGTGTGTTCTTAAGCCAGTACTCAGACAAATGGAGTACTCTTGTAGCTAATTTCTTTAGATTCTGGTTGGTGTTCAAACCAGTTAGCTCATGGGTTGCTGTTGGGAGCAGACCTAGGAGAGAGTTTTTTTCAGTCATGATGGCTGTACTATATTTGCTAGTTCATATAAATCAGGACTTTGCACTGAACTGGATTTTGGAAAGGATCGGGAACTAACATTTGTTTTCCCACCTACTGTGTTTATATTAGGTTCCTAGTGTATGTTTACTATTCACTCCCCATTTTAAGAAAAATGACTGAGTTTCTGACGGGTTAAAGGCACAGCCTTAGGTCTGATAGCTTATAAATAGCTGGAGCTGGGTCAACACATATGTGTCCAACTCCTGAGTTTGAGTTTTCCACTATGCTGTGCTGGCTTCCCTTGAGAACTAGTTTATATAAATAGACTGGCCTCCATGAAGATTAGATATATGGAAGTGATATGAATGCGTGACCTTTGCTTGACTCTGTCACATGGCAGTCTCAGTGAGATAATGATTCTCTGATTGTTCATACATATTAACATTATCTTGGAAGCAGTAATCTCTGATCATTTGACATGGCTTTGGCGGAATGACATTGCTACCTTCTCTGGTAGAATTGATTGCTTTGTTGGTGCAGCGTACTGTGTACGATTTTCCACATAGCTTACAAGATGTGGTATTTTACACTTTAGAACAGTGGGGTGATGTTCAAGCTCTGAAATGAGATCCTCCCCTCCCCTCCCCTCCCTTCCCCTCTCCTTTCTCTTTTCACATCAGTAATGTCTAAGAGTTCTAGTTGCTCCCCATTTTTGCCAACATTTGGTGTGGTCATTATTATTATTTTTAATTTCTAAAAAAATTTTAGCCATTGTAGTAGCAGGTATGCAGTATTATCTCACTGTATCTTTAATTTGCATTTCCCTAATGACTAATGAGTTCAAGTCTTATAAAATAGTTGAGTTTTTCTTCTTTTTCTATTCTGTGGAAGAGTTGGTGTAAGGTTGGCGTTTTTATTTTCTTAAAAGTTTGGTAGACTTTACTGTTCAAGACAAATGGATCCAGAGTTTTCATTTTGAGAATTTTCTTTAAAAATATACGTTTTTTTCAATTCTTTCTCTCCTTGCAGCAATTTTTAAGTGGTGTCTTTCTGGGAATTTGTCTTTTTTACCTATATCTTAAATTTATTGGTGTAAAGTTGTTCATCATATCTTTTTATTTTTACTTAAAAAAATTTTTTTTTTAATTTGAAAATTTTTGGCTGCGTTGGGTCTCTGTTGCTGCATGCGGGCTTTCTCTAGTTGCGGTGAGCAGGGACTACTCTTCATTGTGGTGCGCAGGCTTCTCATTGCAGTGGCTTCTCTTGTTGTGGAGCACGGGCTCTAGGCGCGCAGGCTTCAGTAGTTGTGGCATGTACGCTCAGTAGTTGTGGCACCCGGGCTCAGTAGTTGTGGCTCGCGGGCTCTAGAGCGCAGGCTCAGTAGTTGTGGCACACAGGCTTAGTTGCTCCGCAGCATGTGGGATCTTCCCGGACCAGGGCTCGAGCCCATGTTCCCTGCATTGGTGGGTGGATTCTTAACCACTGCGCCACCAGGGAAGTCCCCATCATATCTTTTTAATAGGATCTGTAGTGATGTCCTTTTGTTCTCCCCTGCTATCTGCCATTTGTGTGCTCACTTGTACACTCAAGTGTGTGTCCTGGTGCTCGCTCGCACACGCTCTCTCTCTGTCTCTCGCGCTAGCCCTTTTTCAGTTTTATTACTTTTTTCAAGGAAATGACTTTTGGATTCTTTGTTCCTCTGTATTTTATGTTTGTTTTAATTTTGTGTCTTTATTTTCATTGCCTTCCTTCTGCTTTCTTTAGGTAATTAGCTGCTTTAAAATTTTTCTTACTTAATAGATGCTGAGCTCATTTTCTGTTCTAATATATGTATTTAGGGCTGTAGATTGGCCTTCATCCATGGCTTTACCTGTGTTCTGTAAGTTTTGAGATGTAGAATTTTTGTAATAATTCAGTTTAAAATATTTTCTGATTTTCGTTGTAATTTTTGGAGTCACAGTTTCTTATTTAGAAATGTGTTGCTTAGTTTCCAGATAAGGAGTTTTCTAGGATCTTGTGTCGAGGTCTGATTTTATTCTGCTGTGGTCAAGGCCATACTTTACAATTTTAATCTTTTGAAATTGGTTGAGACTTCTGGCCGTGCACATGTTCAATTTTGGTAAATACTCTTTAAGTACTTGAATATACATTTGCAGTTGTGTTCAGTGTTTAAGCATATTCAGTTATTTCCAGTTGATCAGTTACTTTCAGATCTTCTATTCTTTCCTGTTTATCGACATTTTTATGTTACTGATAGGTTAAAATCTTCCACTCTGATTATGAACTTCTCTATTTCTCCTCTTAATCCTGTGAACTTTTGACATGTGTGTATGTGTATAAATTTAGAATTGTCACATATTCCTTATGGATTAGAACTTACCATTATGAAATATTCAGTTTTTTCTCTTACAATACTTCTTTTGGTTCATCTTTACATGGTATATCTTTTCTCATTCTTTTAATTTTCTTTATCCTTATGTTTAAGGGTATAAAACATAACACACACATTTCTGTAAGGAGCATATTGTATATGTGTTTTGTTCAGTCTGACAGTCTTTGTCTTTTGATTGCAATTTTTAGTCCAATTTAATGTAATTACAGATATATTTGGGGTTAAATATACCACTCCATTATTGGCTTTCTATTTATCTAACTTGTTTTACATTCCTTGTTCTTCTTGCCTTTTTTTTAAAAAAATTCTTCTTCTTCCCCTTTGTATTAACTGGTTAAATTTGTATTATTTTACTGTTCTCTCAGTGGTAATTGGAGGCATTACATCTCTCAGCAGTAATTGTAGAGATTATATTTTTGACTTATTAAGGTCTCATACAGATTAGTATTTTATCACTTCCTGGACAATGCAAGGGTCTTAGAATATTTTAATACCAAGTACTTTCCCCCTAGGTTATATGTCATTATTATCAGTATAGTAATGCTCACTAGGTATTGTAAAATTTACAAACTATTACTATTATCATTTAGATTTTTTCATCTATTTACCCTTTATGTTACTCTGTCATTTTCCACATCTCCAGATTTCTATCTAGGGTCATTTTCCTCCTATCTGAAGAGCATTCTTCAGTATTTCCTCTAGTGTAGACATGCTGGTGATATATTCCCTCAGCTTTTGTTTGTTACAAATCTTGTTCACCTTTATTTTTGAAGGGTGTTTTCACTGGGTATAGAAGCACCAAATGCTGGCTCACCTCTCTTAGCTTTTCAGCTTTTCCAGATGTTGGCCCCCGAAATTCTCAAGCATAGTGTTCCTCTGATGCCTTCAGAGAGGGTGTGTGTGTGTGTGTGTGTGTGTGTGTGTGTGTTGTTTTGTCCAGCTTTTCTAATTGTTCTTAGTGGGAGGGTGGGTCTAGGAAACCTAGTTGCCATTGCTGGAAGCAGAAGTGCTGGAAATAGTGCAGAGCACATCGTCAGGAACTTAACAAGTGTTGTTGTTTTACTTTCCAGGTTTGTTTTCTCTTATTAGACTGTAAACTCTTGGAGGGCAGTGACCGTGTCTAAATATTTATGTATCCTTACTCTTTATACTGATCACACGATTTAGTTGTTATGAAGCAGTGGTTCAAAGGCTGGCTGTGCCGCGAGCTCTTCTGTGGCTTGGGCTTCGCCTTTGAAATCACTTTGTTCCTGGGGCAGCCTTGCTCAACCTCAACCCTGTAGATATTGGAGCCAGATGATTCTTTGCTGAGGGGGCTGTCCTGTGCATTGTAGGATATTTTGTAGCATGCCTGGCCTTTACCCGCTAGGTACCAGTAGCACGCCACCCCAAACTGTGACTACTGAGAAAAACGTCACAAGTTATTTGCAAATATCTTCTAGGGGGCAAAATAGAGTCTGGTCGAGAACCACTAGGGTAATGCGTTTGGCACTCAGTAAAGGCCATTCAGTATGGCTCAGTGCTTTGCATTTGTGTTTTCTAAATTTGATTTTCCTTTAAACCGTAGGGTTTGAAACCGCCAAAACTTTTGCCCTCCATGGTGCACATGTGATCCTGGCCTGCAGGAACATGACAAGAGCCAATGAAGCCGTGTCACGCATTTTAGGAGAATGGGTAAGTGAGTGCTTGATTTTTTTTTTTTTTTTTTATAAATTTATTTATTTTTGGCTGCATTGGCTCTTGTTGCTGCGTGTGGGCTTTGTCTAGTTGCGCTGAGCGGGGGTTACTCTTCATTGCTGTGCGCGGGCTTCTCATTGCAGTGGCTTCTCTTGCTGCGGAGCACGGTCTCTAGGCACACGGGCTTCAGTAGTTGTGGCACATGGTCTCAGTAGTTGTGGCACGTGGCTCGCAGGCTCTAGAGCACAGGCTCAGTAGTTGTGGCGCACGGGCTTAGTTGCTCCGCGGCAGGTGTGATCTTTCCGGACCAGGGATCTAACCCGTGTCCCCTGCATTGGCAGGCGGATTCTTAACCACTGCGCCCCCAGGAAGTCCTGATTTTTTTAATTGTCAAATACACATGCTGGGATAAACACAGGGAGGTTTTCGTACAGTTGATAAAGTTTATTGCTCTTGGAATAATGTTTTCTTTATTTTTAAAGTCATATTCACTTTGTTTATGAATGAAAGGACAAGCAAGCCCTTTTATAGGTTGTTTATAGTTCATTGTCAGCGTCACCTGCTTTATTAGTCAGAGGTTTGAGAATGTTTACTCATTCAGCTCATTTATTAAGAAAAACAAAATGTGGTTGACGCCCATGAATGCAACTAAGAGGTTATTTACGGTTTTTAGGATGACAAAGTAGCCAGCTTTAACCCTGTCTCTGCTTTTTCCTTTTTGCTTTTCTCTCTCTGTGCGGATGTTGGCGTTGATATCCCTGTGCACAAACATTCATTGAGGGCCTGCGGTGCTGTTGGGGTTAAGGATAATAGCGTCGAATAAAACACAGTACCTGCACTCATGGGCTTCTAGGTAGGAGAAACAGACCCTAAAGGGATAATTAAGTTTAATATTTAATGTAATGTCAGGTTATAAATGCAGTGCAGGACAGTAGAGCAGAATGAGGGCCCAGGAGTTGACAGCGTGGATTATTTCAGATCGGGTGGCCAGCAGGGACCTCTCTAAAGTTGTGACGTTTGATCCAGGGTCTGAAGGAAGTAAAATGGTGAGCTGTGCAGAAGTCAGGGGAAATACTTCCTACACACGTGCAAGGGAGGTAGGGGCGTGCCCGGAGGATTCTAGGATCAGCAGGGACGCCAGCGTGGCTGGAGGGCAGTGAAGCGGGAGGAGGTTGCCAAGGGGCTCCGAGTCAGTGGTGACATGAGAGGGTTTGAGCCAGAGTGACACAGCTTGATTGATTTTTTTAACACGTCACTGGGCTTTGGAGTGATGTCCAGACTGCATTCATTCATTCCCGTGTTTGTGAAGTGCCCCACTGTCAGAGGCACTGGGCATCCGGTGTTAAGGAAAAACAGGTGTTGCCACTGTCCTTGTAGAGCTTTCAGCTGAGAGTGGAAGGCAGCTCAATCCAAAGAAAGGCAAACATCAGTGCAAACATCAGTGTAGACTTGAAATGATGGAAAGTGATACGAAAAAAGGATGTGGCGCTCCAGAGTGGTGAGTAATGCCAGGGAGGCGGAGGACACTTGGGAGTCCCCAAGAAGAGGTGACTGAGCCGAGATCTCAAGAAGGGTCAGGGGAAGGTGGGAGAAGGGTCAAACCGGGCAGAGGGGGTGGCCTGTGCAATGGCCCTGGGGCGGGGGCGGGAGGGGGCGAGGGGGAGACAGTCAGGTGCCTGGAGCAGAGCATGAACGGGATGGATAATCCTTGCCAAGACTGTCTTCATTCTCTGAAAAGCGTGGAAGATTTCTTGCCATCCGAAGAAATACACCATGGTCTGTTTAAGAGAATGTCCGGTGTTCTGGACTGAGAAGTTATGAAAGTCAAGAAAAGGGAGATTTATTTCTGTTTTTTTCAAGCAGAATTTCAAGTTCAATATATTTCAAATGAACTCTTGTGATCTCACTGGATTCATTATTTTGAGTTAAATTAAAAAAAAAAAAGAAAACAGGGCCCGCTTTTTTCCAGTTATCTTAGCATATTTCTAACTTCAAAGTTAAAAAATACAATGACCTCCACTAGGTGGTATAGAGCAATCTTCAGAGATGTGCAGAGAGCGAATGGTAATACGTGCATATGGTTTGAATCTTCATAAAGTGTGTAAAACAAAAAGTGAAAGTCCTCTGCAGTTCTTCTCTTGGGAGGTAAATATCACTAACTGTTTCTTGCGTGTTCTTCCAGAAAAAGGTAGTGCATACTACGCAACACACCTACATACTGTTAGGTACCTTGATTTTTTTTCAGTTACTACTGGAGGAGGTTTTTTTTCTTAGCAGTGCATAGAGGTCATCCTCATTGCTTTTAGCTGCTGTATGATACTCCATCACGTGTTTATGCTGTCATTATTTAACCAGTCTCCCTTTTCGGTGGACATGGAGGTTGTCGTCATTGTTCTGCTCTTCCAAGTGATGCTCTCTTAAAGTTCAGTCTCTCACATTTTCATCCAAAATTGACTCTACTCTCTGCTGCAGTGAGCGTTCTTGATACATGCTTTTGTGACTACACCGTAGGGCAGAATCTTCGCAGTGGACCCATTGATTCAAAGGGCAGATGGACTTAAAGCTTGGGTAGCTGTTTCCAGTTTTCATCTAGTAAGTTGGGCCAATTTTTGCCTCCACCGAAAATGTTAGAACGGTACCTGGGATCGAGCAGCAGGGAGTATCAAACTCGTAAAATTTTGCCCATGTGACATCATATTTAGACTAAAAAAAATCAAATTCCAGTGGCACTCGTGATATTGTCAGAGCCATCTTGTACAATGTGATACTAATGTTTAAACCAGACTTGGAAGATAATGCTCAAACCCAGTTATCTACGCATTTTAAAAGTTGTCTTCCTTTCCCGTCATATATGAGGACAGATTCACCTGGATTTATCCCATTATCACTCTTGTTTGATGCGTAGGGGCAGAAATTTCTGGATCTGCCCTCATTAACTGTGGGACTTTGGAAAGTCTCTTGATCCATTTGGTGCCCCCGTTTCCTCGTCTCTAAAAGAGAAGGTTGAACAGGATGATCTCAAAGACCCGCCATTTAGTTTTTCTTTCTTGCTTTCTAAGCCATAACTGGGTCCCTGTGAGTCAGTTTCAGAAGCCCGCATTTATCATTGTGTAGATACATTCTCGGGTAGAGTAACTTGACGACCAGCAAACAGCTCCCCCACAGGAAGAATTATCCAAAAATATTCGCTGTCAGGGATGTGAATAGGGGAAATGGGAAGGAAAACCAAACTTACACTCACATGGAATTTCACATGTTCACATTAGATTTTAGAGGTTGTAGACTGAAGAAACTCAACACTTTTATCGTCTCTCGTCTGTTCACTTGTTCTCTGTGAACCCCATTGGACCACATTCCTTACTCCCCCTAGATTCTGATTATGGAAGCTCCAATTTAGCACCAAAAGCCGTCATTACCATTTCGCCTCATTGCACCGTTACCAGAGTACAGAGTGTGTGAGAAGCTGCCTCAGCGACCTGCGTGGAGCCGCCTCCCCGTGCCCTGTCCCCGTGTCCCCACCCTGGGTCTGTGCTACTTGGTTTCCTCCAGGCCTTTCCTTACCTGGTCTCTGCATAGGGATTTTGTCTGGCACGTTAGTAGATGCCACCTTCTTGTGTTTCTCGAGGTCCGTACTTTATCTGGCATGAATCACATCACACACAGAGCCTGGAAGGTACTGCAACACAGCGGCGCCGTGCCGGAGATTCTCACAATGATGCAAAGATTTTTGTTGCAGCAAAAGCTCCCTCCGGGGTCTTTGGGCATTTAGCTTAGCATCGGCTCACACGTGCTGAGGCTCTGGGAATGGAGTTCCTCCCTGCCTGGTGTTTCTCTTCTGGCCCGGCCCAAATCGCTGCGTCCCTGACACTCATGTCTGCCTCCAAGCCAGTGGAATGTAACTCTCACGTCCACCACCCGGCATCTGAGAGCCACCATTTATTGCGTCCCTGTCATGTGCCCCGTCCTGGTCAGGGCCTTTTGTATCCCTTTTATTTATTTATTTAAATTAAATTAAATTAAAGTGTTTTGTCTGTGCTGGGTCTCCGCTGCTGCGTGCGGGCTTTCTCTAGTTGTGGGGAGTGGGGGCTGCTCTTCGTTGTGGTGCGCGGGCTTCTCATTGCGGTGGCTTCTCTTGTTGCGGAGCACGGGCTCTAGGTGTGCGGGCTTCTGTAGTTGTGGATCACGGGCTCTAGAGCACAGGCTCAGTAGTTGTGGCACACGGGCTTAGTTGCTCCGCAGCATGTGGGATCTTCCTGGACTAGTGCTCGAACCTGAGTCCCCTGCATTGGCAGGTGGATTCTTAACCTCTGTGCCACCAGGGAAGCCCCTGTGTCCCTTATTTAAGATGATGCAAAAACCTGCTTTTCCCCATTTCACAGGGGAGCCAGTGGAGGTTCAGAAAGGTGAAGGGAGTCCCCCAGAGTCACACAGCTGGTGAGCGCGGAGGTGGGTCCCGGTGTGTCCATCTGGCCTCCACCCCACGGCCCAGCTTTTCTACCACGTCCAGCCTCGTGTGTGTGCGTTACCTGTTCCAGGCTTTGCTTTAAAAATTGCTAGATGCTATTGGAGTGATTAATGTCAGGATTAATCATATTTCTCAGAGGAAGCTGCTCTGATGTCCGTTATTTATTGTCCTAAGCAATCGCTTTTCATTCAAGATGTCCTGTATGGAGTCCTCAGGACACTTTGTGGGGGAGATCCAGCTCTTTTGTAAAATATAACTTAAATGACAGCACATTCCACATGGAATTATATTGAGAGCATATATGTAATTACTACTACTGCTGATTATTTCAACAGGAAATGCCCTCCTGCTGAGATGTTTTAGATGCTCCAAAGTTAGAAATAAGGGAAGCATTGAAAACAACTAAAATTGGGTAACGTGGACAGTGCAGAAATGAACTACCCTCTTAAAAGGCCAATCCATTTAGCATAATTAAAAAGCGAGGGAGGACAGGGGCGTCCATGAGTCCCCAGTTATATTTAAGTACAGAACC